GACAATGCATGACCAAGAATACGGCAAACCTTCAAAATAATAAGTACCACCTAAAATGTCACTTTGAAATATTAAATCTTTCATAGTAGCAAAACAATATTAAATTCACAGAAGAACATAATAATTAGTTTTCTCTGTAACACTTCTGATAAAATTGATTTATGATGATATTTCAAGCAACAGAGTGGCAAGAAAGTAGGAACCACGGTCCTGGCTGGTTTGGCTCAGTGATTAGAATGTTGACCTGTAGACAGAAGGGTCATGGGTTTGATTTTCGGTCAAGGGCACTTACCTGGGATGCAGGTTCGATCCTCCTGTTGGGGTTATGTGGGAGGCAACCAATTGATGTTACTCTCTCTCTCTCCCCTCCTTCCCTTCCACTCTATCTAAAAATCAATGGAAAAATATCCTTGGGTGAGGCTTAACAATAACAAAAGAGCAGGAACCATAAATCAGCCATGGTCTCATCTAATCACTAGGTATTTGTGGGAGCCCACCATGTGCCACATGCTGTGGAAGGAGATGAGGATATGATGACGAGCAGACAGACTTAGTTCTAGTGCTTGTATCATTGTACTTAGAATCACTGGGAGACCACAATGCACACGCACACACACGTATACATATGTGCATATAATTATAAATATTGGAAATACACGGGGCACAAGTGAAGAGTGAGATGGGACAAGCATAAGAAGAGCTGACTTAGAGTGTGTGGGCCGGGAAAGTTTTTCTGTATGGTTCCATATGGCTGGCAAAGTCCATAAGACTTTGAGAAGGAAATAAATAATTAGGTGAAAGGAGAGGGAGAGAGGTGCTTCAAGGCAGAGGAAAACATGAGCGAAGGCCTGCGTTAAGAAGGCACTTAGCTTTGATCCAGAACTGAAAGGAAAGCACTGTAAGAGGAGCACAGTGAGGAAAAATGATAAACAACAGAGCCCAAGAGGTAGGCAGAGCCCTGATGGTGCAGCATTTTATAGGTCATGATGGGCAAGCAGCCTGGGTAAACCATGACCGCAGGACAGACAGTAATTGCTTTAACAGTGAGTGTGAAGTTAGGCATAATGATGTCCTCAGCAGTACAAACAACTTCCCTTGATCCAAGAAATCTTAAACAGGTTTGGTTTTGAGAACCATAGTTTAAAAATAGAATTGGTTATAAGTTATTTGAAGACAGTCTCCTACACAGGTATCCTCTGGGTCCTCTTTCAGCCATGAGTATGTTTGCAGAGCTGAGCCTATATAAGGCAGCAGCTCAGGTGTATTGAGCATGTACAATATCAGGCCCATAACTCACACTCTCTCACACCCACCCTATTAGGTGGATATAATTATCCCTATTTTATAGACAAGGGTATTGAGTCCTAGGGAAGTTGGTGATTTTCCAAAGATGAATGAATGGAAGAGGCAAGGTTCAAATTTGGGTCTAAAGTTTGTGAAATATCTACTGTAGTGTGACAATTGCTCAAGGAACACAACTCAAGGAGCACACTTGGTCCTGATATAGGAATAAAGGTCTTGGTGGATGCAGTAGCCCCCATTCACTGCATTTACCTCCTGAAATGAAAATAAAGGTCCTGAAAGATGCAGTAGCCCCATTCACTGCATTTACCTCCTGAAATGGGAATAAAGGTCCTGGTAGATGCAGTAGCCCCCTGTTCACTGCATTTGTTCAGTCCCCTCTTAGTCATAAATTCAGGCATTTAAGCAAATGCTTAAGCATTAATTAAAGACTTAGTAAGGAAAGGGAAGGGGGAAGAAACATAAAAATATGAGATTCAGGATCTGCCTTCTCAGGACAGGAAAACTAAGTCTCATATACACATAACTATAAAACAACGAAGAATGTGTTGGCTCACAGGAGAAACACAAGTTGAGATTAATTCCTGGTATGCCTTTGAGATACAGGTATGATGTTAATGGGTAGAGATTTAAAGGGACGGCATTCCAAAACAAGTGATGGTAATTTGGGGGCTTATTTGCTACAAAGCCATGTCAGAACCTCTCCTCCCAGATTTTTCAAGCTGAAGGAGCACACAGCATTTCATTCTCTGTTTTTGTTTTTTTTTTAATCCTCACCCGAGGACATTTTTCCATTTTTTGTTCAGGTAGAGTGGGAGGGAGAGAGAGGAACAGAGAGAGAGAGAGAGAAACATCGATGTGAAAGGAACACATCGAGTGGCTGCCACCCTCACAACCGACCAGGGCTGGGGACAAACTGCAACCGAGGTACATGCCCTTAGCGGGAACCGAACCCGGGTCTCTCAGGACCGCAGGCCGACGCTCTAACCGCTGAGCCAAACCGGCCAGGGCAGCATTTCATTCTCAACAGGGACTCGCGGTCAAACAAAACATATATGGCTGAAATTTATTCACCATTGCCAAAATAAAATATCTTTTCTTGTTTTTATCCTCACCAGAGGATATATTTTTCATTGATTTTTAGATAGACTGGCAAGGGGAAGGGGAAGATAGAGAGAGGGAAAGAGAGAGAGAGGGAGAGACATTGATGTGAGAGACACATTGATTGGTTGCCTCCTGCATTACCCCACCGGGCCAGGGATCGAACCTGCAACCAAGGAATCAAACCCATGACTCTTTGGAATGCAGGCCGGTGCTCTAACCACTGGGCAAAACTGGCCAGGGCATAAAATATCTTCAATACTTCTCTAGATATAATAGAGTCTTTTCTTTTCTCCAAAAGATTTTTGAGAATTGCGTTGAGAATTTGCTATGGGGGAATTAGAGAGAGAGGAAGAAGAGAAGGAAGCTCCTGATTCTGATTTGCTATGGATCAGTCTGTGGCACTACGTATTTCGTTAGTAACCCCACCTGCAGCCTTTTGGGATCCCAGGACATCCTCTATGGTGTCAGGTTAAGAGGGTGGGGAATATGGTGCGAAAGACTATGGACCCTGACGATTCGAATATGATTAGTTCTTGGCTCCTCAATGTGATTTCTTCTGTCTAACCCATTTCACCTATGTCAAATAAGTCCAATGAAGAGGTATGGAAGTGAGGGGAACTTTCCAAAACATTGTGTTTGGTTTTGTTTTAAATACAAATCAGGTTGGAACTACACACCCGGTTCCAAGTAGCTCAGCTTGATAGGATGTGGTAAGGGAAGAGAAAGACGAAGGGGAAGTGGAAACAAGACTAGATAATGGAAGGTTGGAATAGCAGATTATGGAATTCAGATTTTCTGTAGTAGCAACACAGAAAACCTTAGATCTTGACTTTTTTTTTATTTTTTTTTTAACATAAGTAGATTCCTAGTTACAGGAAATAAGTTGAAACAGGATAGTATTTTGTCCGATTATATAACTAAATATTATGCACAGAAAATGTTACAGGTTATTGTTTGTTTTATTTTTAACTCCTTTCAAGATCTATTATATTTTCAGTCTGTGGTTTCCTAGATTATTATCGTAACAGTATTTTAGGGGAGTTAATCCCAAAGTCAATCCCAAGAGAGTCAACAAAATTACAGTTCAGCCAACATTTGAGGGATCCAAGCAAACATTTACATAGTCCCTCTGTCCCTCCAACTAGAAAGTCATTTCCTTTCCCAATCTCACAAAGGAAATATTCTCTCCTGATGTTTCCCTTGATATGCAAGGTCAAAAAATTAATTGTTTCTTTTCTTTTCAAGAGCATGTTCAAATTGGGGGCTTTTGATAGCTCTCTGCAGCTCAGTCATCTTCCAAGTCACATATTAATAATGTGACCCATAACCTTTTGTTTCAGAATTAGCTTTTGCAAGAAATCAAAGGTAGAGGAGTATCTATATTAAATATTGATTTTTTAAAAGAGCTCTCTTTCTTTTACCCTTTCTCACCCTCTCTCCGGAGAAGCTGAAAGGAGATATTAGTGAAAGGGTTGAAAGCCTTTAAAAAAAACCCATTCTAAATGTTCTCTTCTTTTCAGATTTGTTCACTTTTCTCTCCTGAATTATAATAGTCCAGTTTTAGTAGCATTAAATCTCAAATAATTCTACTTGTTGATCAGTTAACATTTCTATTTACCAGGTCACTTTAAACCATCACATGTGTGTACTGTAAGTGTTTTAATAAAATTACATTTGCTTACAATTTTGACTTTGAGATAGTCTATAGGAGTTCAATCTAAAATAAAATGCAATTTGGTGGCTCTGTACATACTAGGAATAGAGCCCTCAGCAAACTTCAACCATAATGGAACCCTGATCTTGGACTCTCAACATCCAAAACTGGGACAAAGTTAATTTCTGTTGTTCAAGCCACCCAATTGATGGTATTGTGTTACGGCAGCCCACGCTGACTAACACAGGGACTGTCCTCGTGCACACTGAGAGGTCAGTGCAAAACTGGCATTTGAACCTGACTGTGTCTGACTACAAAGCCGATTCTTTGGATAGCCCTCTGAATTTTGAGCCAGAAAAGAGTGAATTAAAAAGATACCAAACCCTTCCTCTGTTGTATTTTTATTTTTACTAGGTTTAGCAGATACAGATAAAGCCAGTTGATTTTGCTCATTCCTATTCATTATCATCTGATTTTTGTGTGCTAGCAGGATGTTAGTATCTGAGCTCTCAGAATGCCAGGTTAATGTTTACAAATGTGGCCAATCTTCCTGCAATTGCAATGCTTAAAAAATCCAAGAAGACTTACTATTGCTGTATTTGCTTTTTGTAAAACATATTAAATACAAAATGTCCAGTTTTGAGCCTGAAATTAATTGGCAGTGCCTCATTGCACCATATTAAAACTAACATCCATTAATTAGATTAGAGATTCAGTGAGAATGGCAGCTGCTAGTGCCTTTTACAGTTACTCTGTTTCTCTATAATCCATATGGCAGACATCATATGATGCTTCCCTCCCTTGAAATAAACACTTGAGATAAAAAGACGTGACTCACTGTGGTCAGGGTACATGCATGTATTTTTCTTTTTTAAGAAAAATTTTTTTTTTTTTTTTTGGTCAAAGCTGAAGTATGTCTCCCCCCCTTTCCCTTTTACAGGTTTTCACCAGCTATATTTGTATATCTGATTAACATCGTCCCATCATTGTGGATTCTTGAATTGCATCATGGGAACCAGGTACATCCTTTTGAAAAGTAGGAAAGTGCAATATTCAGCAATAAACTACTTTCGTGTTCTAATCCAATTCGTGTCAGAAATGCACTTTTCTAAGGAACTAGAGTTATCAAGAACTGAATAAATAAGAGGTCATCAGCAAAAGGAAGCAAATTCATGATCTGTCAAACCCAATAAAAGCATTACATTCATTTAAGACTCAAGATTGTACAATTAATTAACAACTTGTGTTAGAGACTTTTGTTCTAAAACACTTGCCCCCTCAATACGCTAGAATATTCATGGGGGTGTAAAAATTTGTTTTTAACCCTTGCAGGATCAATGAGTTTCTATATGGGGCTAAGAATGAGCAGGGCTTGACAGTCTAGCATCCTACAAAATGACATATTTAGGAACAACAGGAACAAAATCCAACCCCATCATCTGTACTCTGCTATACAAATCCAATCAAACTTGGATGAGCTATTTGAGATCATCTGTCTTAAAATACAGGCTTTGCAGATGACAAGAGGTTCACTTTTGAGGGCCCCAAGAGCTATTATAGTAAAATAGAAATTCTACACTAGAGCCCCAAAATAAGGGTAAAGGAGAGTAGTCTTGAGACCCACCATCAGGAAATGTGGACTCTATGTATTAGAACCACAATGATGTGGAAGATAAACAATGGTTTCAATAAGAGACAGTAATCTACATATAGAGAGAGGTTCTGATTTTCAAGTGGGTTGATTCTTACTTGGGCTACCCTGGGTAGCCGGCTCTAGGCTGGATCCAGCCATTTCTTATTATTAATGCACCTGTACAACCCCAGGAAGGTGAGTTAGTAAAGTTCATCAGAACAGCTTGGACTGCACATCTTCAGGTTATAAAACTATGTTTTACAGATAAATTGTAGTTATGATATAATATTGTTTTATTACCTTCATTGATAAAATATGTTAGGTAAGATCTGTGAGCATTTGCCCCTATTCAGATTTATTTGGGGCAGTTGGTATTTTTTAGCAAAGTTAAGCCTCCTATAAATGTTTCAGACAATCAAACATATAGAGAAAATACTTGCTCCAAATTTTAGGCACACAGGAGAATTTATCTCTGTGGACTATTTTTTTAAGAATCCCATAATCACATACCAATAATACAGGCATAAGAAAACATTTTTCTGCCTTAAATATTATAGTGATAGGATATCTCTGTCTCTGTAGCAAAGTATTTCTGTAATAGTAGTTTGGTAGGTTCAAGTTATCGTGACTTTTAAAAACTGTACCATAGGGAGTTAGGGGATTGCTGTCATTTCCTTACTGTTTACTACTTTCAGGGGTGTGGAAATAAGCATTGGTGATTTAAATCATTGTTTTCCCTCTTCACATCCAATTCTCTGACATGGCCTCCATCCACAATAACAATTCATTTCCCCAAATGCTTTTATGAAAAAAATGTGTGGCACAGTTAATTGATATACAGGTCAAATCCCCTACAACAAATAGCCTGCAACCCAAAACTCTCTTTTTAATAAAATAAAAAATATATATATTTTTGAGGCACAGGAAGTACCTCTTTAATTTCCACACTACAAAAGACTTTGGACCTTTAGTAGTCACGAATTTGACTTGTTTTGACACGAAGAATTAAAATGAATGCCCAAAGAATGAATTATGCAGGGTAGGCAGAGATGGAACTAGGAAAAAGGTGAGAAAAAAGAGACAAAGAGGTCTTGGAGTTGCATTTAAAGAAATAAAGAATAGCAGGATAAAGGGATTCACTTTGTCCATTCATTTAGGAAATTTCGGTTATAATAAAAGCACTTCTACTTATTTCAGAGTATTTTCAGAAATGATTTCTTACTTATAAACCCAACCACTACATGAGTTAGGCATGGTATATACATTTCTGTTTTATAAAAGAGGATCCCAAGACTCAGAAAGATTAAGTAGTTTTCTCAAGGCTACACAGCTAATCAACAACTTTCTGGGGCTTAGAACCTACATGTTGGCCCCGGCTCGGTTAACCTCACTGCCTTTCTCAGTTATGTGTTCTATGTCTGAGAGAAGTTAGCATCAAAACCATCTACATTTTTTATAATGGGAAAGAGTAATTTAATTTCCTTTCACTTTTTCCATTTACTCTGAATCCTATACATTCTAAACTATGATTTAGCATTAGGAAAACATTCTGACCTATTTCATGCAGACATTTCTCCTAGATGATCAATTATGTAGTTTCATTCCTGAATCTGGCAAGGTCTGTATGAATGGAAACCAAACAGTTATGACAATGATTATGACCTTAACTCTTAGGTCTATTTATGAAGTGATACAGGGAAAGCAATGGAAACGTTCTGGGCTTGATGGTGTCAGTCTGGTTTGACCCAGAGGGATATTTTTAGAGCTAATAAGAGTTTTTAAGACACAGCCCTTAAAAAGGTGGCTTGTTGTCGCTTAGGTCATCTACATAAACTCACCTACATGATAGTGAATGTAAACCATACTACCATAAAAACAATAAAGTCAGATTAGGTGTAAGGAGTCAAAGCAGTTGCTCTTTGCAGTCCTAATGCATCTGTCACTTAAAAGGAAGTCTCATCAATGTATTATAAATAGAATTACACAGATGAAGAGGGACTCAGATGGGTTCTAACATCATAATATAGATGACAGAGCTATTTGCTACTGAGTTATACTGCAAAACAAGTGATTTTTCTTTAAAATAAGATGTCTATGGATTTTTAGTGATAAGAATATTAAAAAAAAATGAGGGTCATAACTTTCATGCCTAGAAACAAAATGGTCCAAGTTTGTTTCTTACTAACCATTTGGTTCATAGCTAGTCACAAAACTACTCTGCAATGAGATTTTTGTGCCCTGGCCAGTCATTGATTAGAAAATTGGCCCTCACACTGAAGGGTCTCGTGTTCAATTCCTGGTCAAGGGTATGTACCTGGGTCACAGGTTTGATCCCTAGCCCTGGTTAGGGTACATGTGGGAGGCAACCAATCAGTGTGTATCTCTCACATCGGTATTTCTCTCTCTCTCTCCCCATCCCTCCCTCCTTTCCATACTCTTGAAAAATCAGTGGGGCACAAGAACAGGCATATAGATCAGTGAAACAGAACAGAGAACCCAGAAATCAACCCAAGCCATTGTGCTCAATTAATATTTGACATAAGAGGCAATAGCATATAATGGTATAAAGAGAGTCTCTTCAATAAATGGTATTGGGAAAATTGAACAGGCACATGCAAAAATATGGAACTAGACCACCAATGTACACCATATACAAGAATAGACTAAAAATGAATAAAAGACTTAAAGTTAAGTCATGAATCCATAAAAAAATCCTAGAAGAAACCATATTGGCAGCAAAATCTCAGACATCTCACATAGCAGAATTTTCACTAATACATTGCCTAGGGCAAGAGAAATATGAAAAAATAAGCAAATGGCACTACATCAAAATAAAAATCTTCTGTACAGCAAAAGAAACCATCGACAAAATGAAAAGGGACCCCACTGTATGGAAGAACAAGTTTGCCAATGATACATCTGATAGGGTTTATTTTCCAAAATATATAGAATACTCATACAACTTAGCAAAAGGAAGACAAACAATCCAATAAAAAATGGGCAAAGGACCTAAAAAGACACTTCTCCAAAGAGGATATACAGACAGACAAGAGACATCTGAAAAAAAATGCTCAATGTCACTAATCATCAGAGAGATGCAAATTAAAACCACAATGAAATATCACCTCACACCAGTCAGAATGGCTGCCACCAACAAACGACAAGTGTTGACGAGGGTGTAGAGAAAAGGGGACTCTAGTACACTGCTGGTGGGAATGTAAACTGGTGCAGCCACTATAGAAAACTGAATGGAGTTTCCTCAAAAAATTAAAAAAGGAGCTGCCATTTTACCCAGTGATCCCACTTGTAGGAATATACCTTAAGAATCCTGAAATACCAATCAGAAAGGATATATGCATTCCTATGCTCATAGTAGTGCTATTTACAATAGCTAAGATCTGGAAATAGCTTAAATACCCATCAATAGATGAGTGGATAAAAAAGCTGTGGTACATTTGCACAATGGAATACTATGCAGCTGTAAAAAAAAAAAAAAAGAGAAAGGTCTTTTACCCTTAGAGACAGCATGGAGGGACCTGGAGAGTATTATGCTTAGGAAAATAAGCCAAAGAAAGACAAGCATCACATGATCTCACTTACATGTGGAATTTAATGAACAAAATAAACTGACAAACAAAATAGACCCAGAGACATGAAAGCATGAATGGACTGAAGAATCTCAGAGGGAAAGGGAAGGGGTGGAGGGAAGAAATTAACCAAAGAACTTATATGCATATATGCATAACTCAATAGTGTGAAGGCCTGGGGAGTGGGGAGCAGGAGCAGGGTGGAGGAGGTCAATGGGGGGAAAAGGGAGGACATCTGTAATATTTTCAACGAAAAAGATACACTTAAGAAATCAATGAAAAAAATATTCTTGGGTGAGGATTAACAGCAACAACAACAAAAATAATTTGTTACTTGGTTCAGAGACTTAATTTTTTATCTTTATTATCTTTTCTTGGTGCCTTACCTGTACACACACGAAAAAGGGGTACAAAACCTTACATTTTGCTCTTAGAGATATGGCACATGGCCATTTTTCTTAATTATTCTTTTTATTTCACCCATAACACTAGTAATTTTGATGAAGGGTAGGAAAAAATACCTTCTTGACAGCCTTTCCTGCTTTTTGAAATAGCTCATAGAATGATCAATGGAGTATTCAGAATAATTAAGAAAAATACACTTTTTACAGCATTAGCATTAGAAAAAAATAGTTTCTCTCAAAATCCAAATGTGAGCATGGATGAGTGGTGGTGCTGGTGTGCATTTCTAAAGTATGTTAGCTCTGCAGCTGTTTTTATTATTATTATTTTTACCCGTTTAAGAAATAATCATTGGTACAGTTACATTTTTAAGTGCCCTTCCCCACTTGCCTTCCTGCTTCTTCTTTCTCTACCTCAGATTCCCAGCATCTTGCTGGATAAAAATCATGCACAGTTCTCTTGCAGAAATTTACATACAAAATGAAGAAGCAAGAAGGGGGAGAAAGTCATTTATTAGATCTTTTATCAAATTTTCTATAAATCTAAATTGACTTCTAAAGTGACACTAAATACATATTTTGGTGGACAAACATGTTAATTGCTTGCTTGTTATAGTATCTAGCAGTCAAGAGTGAACATAATTGGATTATCTACTTAAGCAAAGTGGTATTTTAGATAAAGAGGCTTCTGGATAAGAAACAAACTTTTAGAGTAAATGCTTGGACTAGGGTCATACCTGTTTTAATACTTTCATTGGTTGTTGGATTGTTTTACAGTTGTTCCCAGGTTGAAGAACAAAACCTAATTATCAATCCATAAATTTTACAGCTCTCTACCATAAACTCCAAGAGTCTACATCCCCACAGACTTGTGGAACAATATGACATACATAGTAGACTCTATTATCAAATCAACTGAAAAGTGGTTTTCTATCTCAAGCATATAATATGAGTTTTGGAAATGTTTATGCATACTGTTTCAATTCTACATATCTGTTCATAATTTCTTAGATACATTGAAGCCATTTTCATTTCAACCTATTGTGGTATTTTATTTTTTGACATATTGCCTCTGTACAAAATTCTTAGTATTGTGGTAGCCAATCTGAAGAAATGTCACAGAATACCAGCATCAAAGAAGACTTCAATCAAACTCTGATGTCAAGTGAACAAACCCATGGAGGGGATAATCTCATTGAGTCGGTGAGAGCTTTTCCCACAGTATGTTAAAGGATCTAGAAAAGTTTTTCTCTTGGTGAGGATAATGTGCTCCACATCTTTCAGCTCATTCTCTCCTAAGGACATTCCTTTGACTCAGGAATTTGTAAATTTATTGTATTTTTATATTTGTTAAACATAGTTAACATGCATTAGATATATAATCAGTAGTAGATTATATTTAACTTGCAGCATTAAAGAACCTTTAATACTTAGGTCAGACGACACATGTATAAAGAGAGACATATATATGTTTGTTAAGGAATGATATAATTATAAGATTGGGATCTGCTGTATATATTTTTTAGATGTTCATATTAACAAAATAAAGAAGGTTTCCAGCCAGAATTAAATCACTTCTTTGTTCTTCACATTCCTGATATTTAGCAAATTAATTATGGTCTCTTAGAAATAATATATGGGAGAGACTCAAGGCCAAAGCCTCTACCACAGAACCATGTTTTCAACAATAAAATAGGCTATAGATTCTATGAGATTTAATAGAACTAGCCTTGAGTTCTAATATAAGCTCCAATCACAGCTTACCAATATCACTTTGAAAAAATCGCTTATGTCACTATATCTCAGTTTTTCATCTGATAATTGAAAATATTAATATACCCCCTACTAGTATGCTCCCTGTAAGTATGAAATAAAATGTATGTGAAGTCTCATAGAAGAAATATAACGAAGTGTGCAAATGAAAGATTATTTATCTTTATGCATGGCTTAAATTAGAGTAGCATCCTGACTTGTCTTTTATCCTTCCTCTACCCTTGCACTTGACCTCAGCAAGTGATCTAAAGGGATACATAGATTTGCACAAAAACAGTTAAATTACTTGGATAAATCAGTTGAAATCACTATCCAATCTACTTGAGACCTATGCCCTGTAGTCTTGAAAAGATCATAACCTTTAGGGTCATAACCTATTTAGAAGTTAAGTGGGCAAGATATAACCAGAATATATAAGTGTGATGTAAATTTTTCTTAGAGGCTAAGAATAAGGACAGAATAAAATGTGGTTGCTAACTCACTGACTTTTGAATAATATGTCAAATAATCAAAATAAAAATAATAACTTTATAGTTAGTCTCTCTATTTACATCTAGGTAATAAATAAACATTATTATATATTTTCTCATTTTTTATAGTAGTGTTTTATAGCAATAAAACACAAGAAAGAAGATTTGTACCATGTGATGGTAGTCCCAGATTTGTAAATTCAGACTTAAAATTGCTGAAAGAAAAATATAGGAATTCTCACTTTATTTTGACATGGGATTTAAAACACTTGATATATATTATACTTTGTTACAGAGAAAATTGATCTTTAAAACATCATAAAATTGGCCCTTTAGATATCATACTCCCACTAGTGTGGAAGGTTTAAATTACTTCTAGTCATAAGGCTGCTCGTTTTAAGGACCACATTCGCTTTTTTATTTTTTCAGAGTATTAATTGAAAGAAGTTTTACTTTCTTTAGTAAGTGAAGAATCATCCTCTGAAAATAACTTTCCACAAAGCTAACTCTTGATTGAAAGCCATGGTGAAGATGGTATCTCTCTCCAAGTTGGTAACTCATATCCTTTTGTCTGTGTGACATTTCTGTTAAACAGGCGAAAGTTTTTGTAAATAACTTATCTACAATGTGTGAGAAAGATTGGACTTTGGGACTCCATCAGACATTCTTGTTAATGCTAATAATTGGAAGATGGCTTCTACCTGTGGGAGGCACAATCACCCGGGACCAGCTCTCTGAACTTCTTCTCATGTTTGTGGGGACGGCAGCTGACATCCTGGAATTCACAAGTGAAACTTTGGCAGAAGAAAATGTGAGGTAAGCAATGAGAGGTCCTGCAATGAAAAGACCTTCTTGTCAAGGTCAGAGCCCACACACCTGTCTCTTTGTTTCATCGTTTATATTCTGCATAAATAAAGATTTGTATTATATTATATGCCCAATGGTAGAGTCATAGAATTAGTTGTTGTTCAGATACTTATTGAGTACTAGCCCAGTGGAGATACAGATAGATGATATAGATATAGAGGTAGAGATAGTGATAAAGATATCACTATCTCTGATAGAGATAGACAAGTTCAAAAAGCAGGTTTTTGTCAGAGAAAAGGGGCAAATAATATTTCCTGTGGGTGAGAACAGAAAAGCTCTGTTTGTCTGCAGGACCACAGGTTAGGTAGGGCCATGGTTACAAAAAAATCTTCTGGAGATACATGACCACCAGTAGCTCCTCTTTTCTATTCTCAAGTGTCCAGGAGTGTATTCAGTCATAAGATTCTGTTCTAGAGCACAGCGTAGCTACAGTTCCAAGAAAGTGTCTAGAAGAGATTTGGCAAAAATCTCTCCCCTACCCAGCTGGGAAATTTATAGTATTCCCTTGTGTGAATGGAGAATGGGGAATATCAGGTTTTATTTTACTAAATTTTATTTTTAGTCAGTTTTGTTCAAAGTGCCTAAGGCTTTCTGGAGTAGATGCCTATAAATTAAAACTTATTGAGTTGGTACTTTATTTTTGCCACGAGCAAACAAACTCAGAATCCATGATCACATCTGTTTATGGAACTACTTTCTTACCATAAGGGATTTAAATCTCAGTGCCTGGATGTACTTTCAGCTTGGGTTGTTTTGCACTATGCTATAAAAACAAATTGCAGTGATGCTGGCTTTTAATGCTACAGTTTACTTTGTGCTGTGTTTCTCAAACAACAAAACATAAAGCTGAGCAAAATACACTGAGTAAACTTAATATCCCAATTATAGCACAAAGCATATCAATAACTATGAGTTACCTTTACATGATCATTTCTTGTCTCACTTACACTTATTTTTCTTATACCTCATTAAGTGGCTATAGAATGTTAGAAAGAATCCAGTCTAAGTTGATCCAATATCCTCAACATGTTGATTTTAGTTAATACCTTCCATGTGGTCAGTGAATTACATTGTATGGCGAATTTTCAGATACTTATAATACAATAGATTTACAAGAAAACCATAAAGAAATCTTTATCAAGCACATAAAAGCAATAAATAACTATAGGTATAATGACAGGGACATGAGAAAATAAAAACAATTAACTACATCTACATAGAAATAAGCACATAAATGCTAATTATCTAGGAGGGTGGGAGGGATATTAGGTAGGAAATGGGGTATCAGGAGGGATATGAATGTCACGAGACATTTATTTTTCTGTCCACTGTTGATTGATTATCTAGCATGGCCAGGCAGTGTATTGTTCAGAGATTGGGGAGCAAATGGTGAGCAAGTGGTGAGCAAAAGGACACACAGTCCTAGCCCAGCTGAGGCTATTTCAATTCCGCAATTTCTCCTGCCACCTACACATGAATCTGGATGTTTCATCAATCTTTTTTTTCTTCTCATTTTAAACTTGTATCATGTCCTGAGAATGGGATCCAATAAATTATGCCATGGTTTTGGTTTTTAAATTTCTTTTCAGGTCTCATGGTCTCAGATGGAAGTCATTTTACTTTTCACATAACTGCACGGTGTCTGCGACCTTCTGCGGTCTCCACTCCACTCCTGTATGTTGCCCTCACTGCTCAGAGGTTCCAGAAAGAACCCAGAGTGTTTTCTCTCTCCTAAAACTCACCTCCCAAATTCTGATTTTTGCCTCAGGGCCATCTATATTCCAGGAATTGACACTGCAAATGTCCCTTTCTTCAAAGGAGAGACACAAACCCCTCCCACTGTGGTATAGCTCTCCCCTTTGGTCTCAGAAACATGATCATGAAGAATAAATTCAATACACATGGAAGGGATATTTACATGTGATATCAAAGGAGGTTACTTCATTATAACCTACTTAGAGTTACCTATATTAGTACAGTATTTTATTTACTCTATAGTTTGGGCCAATCAGGAAAAAGCCTGCAATGACATGTAAATTCCAATAATACCTACCTCTTTCTTGCATCCTGGCTAAAACCTCAAGCCCATTTTTCTTTTAACCTAAATTAATTCCCTTCATTATGCCCAAATGAAGTTAATCTGCCTTATTCCTATAAATTTACACACTGCAAATTTTTCTTAATAACTTGACTTTACATACCATAAAATTCAACTATTATAACTCTATGGATCAATGATATTTAGTAAATTGATAGATGTGTATAATTCTCACCAGAATCCAGACTCCTTATGGCTGTTTGCAGTCAGTTCTCACTCCCATACCAACCCTAGGCAACCATTGATATGCTTTCTGTCCTTTTCTAAAAATTTCGTGGAAATGGAATCATGACATATGTAGTCTTTTGTGTCTGGCTTTCTCACAGCATAATGTGTTGGGTTCATTCACATTGTGCATCTATTAGTGTTTAAGCTCCTTTTAAATCACTGAGTAGTGTTCCCTGCATATACCACATTTTACTTATCCATTTCGTAGTTGATATACACATGTATTGCTCTTTTCTTGCTGTTAAGAATGACATCGCTATGAACATTCACCCTTTAACGCATTTGCTTTCATTTCCATTGAAGTGGAATGACTAGATTTTCTGCTAAATACATGATTATTGTTTCAGAAACTGGCAGACTTTTCCAAAGTGGCTGTACCTTTCTATATTCCACCAACAATGAGACTTCCATTTTTTCCACATCCTCACCAATACTTTTTTTCAGTCTTTGATGATCACCATAGTGGGTTCATAGTAGGATCATAGTGGTTTTAATTTGCATTTTCCTAATGACTAACACTGTTGACCATCTTTCCATGTGCTGATTAGCTATTCATATAGCTTCCTTGTGGAAGTGTCCACTTAAATTTTGCTCATTTTTCATTGGATTGTTTTTTTATTATTGAGTTGTAAGAATTCTTTATATAGTCTTAATTTTTATTAAATTTATAACTGTAAATGTTTTCTCCCATTATATAGCTTAAACAATTTTTTTTGAATGTCATTTGAAGGAAAATTTTTAAAATTTTGATATAGTTCCATGTATCTATTTTTTTTTCTTTTATGCAGTGCTTTGGGTGTCATATCTAAGAAATATTTTCCTCACCTAAAATTAGAAATATTCTATTCTGATGTGTGTGTGTATATATATATACACACACATATATATATATATATATATATATATATATATATATATATTTTTTTGGTATGTGCCTCTAGCGGGAACTGAACCTGGGACTCTCTGGTCCGCAAGCTGACACTCCAACTGCTGAGCCAAACTGGCCAGAGCTCTTCTGTAATTTTTTGACTTAATTTTTTTGTGTAGTGTGAGGTAAGGGTCTAAGTTCATTTTTGTCTTGTTTTGTTTGGGGCATTGTCCCAGTACTATTTTTTTTTTTTTTGTCCCAGCTGGGACCAATCATCTTGGCACCATTTGTTGAAGAGACTATTCATTCCCTATTAATTTGCCTTGGCATCTTTGTCAAAAATAAACTGACCACATATGTAAGAGTTTTGTTTGTTTGTTCGTTTTTATCCTCACCCGAGGACATTTTTTGCATTTATCTTCAGAAAGAGCGGGAGGGAGATTGGGGGGAAGAGAGAGAGAGAAACATCAATGTGTAAGAGTTTTTGTGTTCCTTTTTCCTGGACATTCTATTGGGTTCCATTGTTCTATATGTCTATTTTTATGCCAGTACCACATTATTGTGACTACTAGAGTTTTATGGTAAGTTTTGAAATGGGATACTATAAGCCCTCTAATATTGTTTTTTGTTTTTTATTGTTTTGGCTATTCTAGGTCTATTGTATTTCCATAAAAGTTTTCCAATCATCTTGTCAAAATCTACAAAAAAATCTGTGGGAGTTTTGATAAGAACTCCCACAGATTTTTATTAAATCTAAACATCAATTTGTGAAGATATGACATCTTAATATGGTCTCCCAATCTATAAAGATGAACTATCTCATATTTTATTCAAATGTTCCTTAATTTCTCTCAGCAATGCTTTGTAAGGTTTTTGTTGTTGTTGTTAATCCTCACTCAAGGATGTTTTTTTCCATTTCTTTATTTTTAGAGAGAATGGAAGGGAAGGGGGAGAGAGAGAGAGAGAGAAAAAGAGAGAGAGAGAGAGAGAGAGAGAGAGAAACATCAATGTGAGAAAGACACATAGATTGGTTACCTCCCACACTCACCCCAACCAGGTCTGTGAATGAACTTGCAACCTAGGTATGTAGCCTTGACCAGAAATCAAATCTGTGACCCTTTGGTGCACAGGCTGACACTCTAACCACTGAGCAATACCAGCCAGGGCTGCCTTGTAATTTCTAATGAATAGATCTTATACTGCCTTTCCCCTCTCTAACTTCCTTTAGGACTTTCCCACTAGCTTACCACCCAGTGCTTAAAATCTCTCCTACCTTTTGTTTAGTAGAAATGAATTCAATCTCTCTCCACTATTGCAGTAGTCTTAAATAAAGTCTTCTTTGCCTAATTAATTCTGACTGGTGCAAGTTTTCTTTGACATAGCCAAGCTGGAGGGATATGGGAACATCCCATGGGCAAGAGTGCCCACTGCTCTTAACTGCAGTTCTACCCCAGCTTCACTGCACTGTTGCTTGTGTCCACTGGTGATGCATATAAGTTCTTTGGTTTCCCTCTGAGGTTCATCAGTGTGTTTATTTGACCACACAAAGAAGGATTTTCTTATGTTTACACCATGTTTTCTTTTTATTTAGCTATTTTTGCTTGGTAAAACATTTCTTCCAGGGAAAATTAATATTTCATTTTCTTTCTTTTTCTCTCTCTCCTTATTTATCTTCCCCTTTCCAAAGAGGTTTGTTTGATGTTTTTGTAGAAGCAAGATGGATTCTATTCACTGATTATCTCTTATCGACAGGAATATTTACATTTCCAAAAAGAAACAGTTCAGCAAATTATCAATGTATATTTTTATTTTTCACCTAATAGATTTGATGCACTGATCTAACAAATTCCAGTCTTTTATCCTATCAGTTTTCCAGGTACAGAAGCCATACATCTACAATTATACTTCTCCAGATCTTTTGTCTCTTTATGAAGAAACTCCATTGTCTTTTACATGCTTCTCAGCTGACATTTATGGAGACAGATTACACATGAGAAAATGGGCAAGACAATTGAGGGAGACAGTTACACAATGCAGACAATGTTGAACAAATTCACTCCAAAATTTCTTTACAGTTTTTTTTAGTGTTTCCCATTTAAATTCAGTGATTTATTTACATTCCAACCTTTAAGCTTCCAGCGTAACTTTTACTGTCTGACTTAAAACAAATTTGTCTGCTTCAAAAATGTTCTGGCCATCGATTCCAGAGTTATTTTAATAACTTTATTAATTAGCTTCTCAACACACACCTTCTCCCATATGTTGTGTGTGCTCAGAGAATACTTGCAAATGTAAAAATATACATTCATTACTGTAGGGTTAGAATTTGGGTTACTTAGGGCTATGGTTAGTATATTCTTTATCCCTATTTTGTATAATGATAAAATTAAAACACAAAGAGTTTAAGAAATATGTTCACATAATAAAAATACAACAACTACTATGACTAAGTAATATTTATTTATCACTTGCTGTGTTCTAGGGTTTTAGTTGTGATAAGCTATTTAGTCTTTATAATAACACTATGAGGTAGATCCTATCATTACCATCATTTTATAAGCTGAACAGTGACAGGCAAGAGAAGTTGGGAAAGTCTCAAGCTCAAATGAAAATTTAAAAAGTAACTAACTTGTAGTGATCTACAAGTCTGTATGGAGTATTTTTCTAAGAGCTTTATCTGTTTAACGCATTTAAACAACATACTTGAAATTACATATAAAATACAATAGCCATTATTATTGTTATCCTCATCGAAGATGGGTATACTAAAGCATATAAATGTTAAATTAGTTGTTCATACTCATGTAGCTAGGTAATGATCAATCTGGGATCAGAGGCCCAGGTCTCTCTGGTGAGGGTTGGAGCTAGTATTTGAACATGAGCAACCTAGTACTGGAGCTATGCTTTATCATCACTTTCTGCTGCCTTGAAGATAAATGGTACATGGGTTTTTGGTAGAATTATTGCAATTTGGGGTTAGAAGAAAACTTCAAAAGAGACCACCTATTGAAAAATATCTATTTTATATCTATTGCAAAATCCTCTCCAAAATTTTCTCAATAAGTTTTTGTCCGGCCTTTCTTTGAAAATTTTCACTAATAGAGAATATACTACCCCAGGGGCAAGTCATTTTTTCTTAAGTTAACATTATTAGAAAGAATTTTTCTCTATTGTGATGAAATTTGGATTCTTATAGGTGCAACTAAAATCCTTTGAACCTGAATTGGCTCTTCGAAGTCACAAGAAATAAGTTTAATTCTTTTTCCACATAATAGTCCTTTAAATGTATAAAACAAAGTTTTAAAGGAATCTTCTCTAGTTTTCACTTTCTTTCTTTTTTTCATTGATTTTTTTTTAGAAATAGAGAGAAGAGAGAGAAACATCTATTGGCTGCCTCCCGCACGCCCCCTGCTGGGGATGGAGCCCACAACCCGGGCTTGTGCCCTGACCAGGAATCAAACTGGCAACCTCTCAGGGCACAGGGTGTACAAGCAACCGAGTCACACCAGGCAGGGCTAGTTTTCAGTTTCTCGAACTACTCCATGTATAACATGGCTCTCAGCTCTCTCACCATACTAGCCTCTCTCCTTTGAACCAAATACTTTTCAAGCGTTCCTCCTAAAACAAAGCACATCATATTTCAAATATATTCTGAACACTGGAGAATAGAGCAGGGCTAAACTTTCCACCTCCTTCGTGGAAATAGTAGACTGTAACGGTTAAAAGGATGGGTGCTGAAATCAGATACTTAGTTTAGATTTCTGCTCCCAACGCTTATAACCACATGACTTGGAACCAGTTTCTTCAACTCTCTATGCCTCAGTTTCTCCACTGGTCAAGTAAGGATAATAAGTGCATGTGCTTTGTAGGGTTGTTGGGAGGATGAAGTGTGATCCTGGACTTAAACACTTTGAAAACTGCCTGAACATAGTTCAGATCCTGTAAGTTAAGTAAAATTGTTTAAAAATGCATGCACTTGTTGAAGGTCTACTCTAGATAGACACTGACACTACAAAGCGGGAGAAGTTATAGACTGTGTTCCCTGGGCTCTTCCACTTCAAATGCTCGACTTTATACTTCTTGTGAAGTGATGTATGATTGCATTTGATTTTGGAAAGTCATAAATCATGTTACACTGCAGACTCATAATTAGATAACAGTAAGAAAAATCTTTGAGCCTTTTTATGACTGTTGCTGTGAAATGCTACCTCTTCTATGCTATTCTAGATCACCCAGTTATAGCCTGTCAAGATCTTTTGGGATCCTGATTGTGTCTTCTGGGGTTTTGGTTTCCTATTCAACCTCCATGTCATATGTGCATATGAGAAGCCTCCCATCAATGTGGGCAACCAAGTCACTGATGAAATACAAAGAAGAACGGGATCAAAGGCAGAGCCTGCAGCAACCCATTAGGGCACTCTCTTTGGGGAGTCATTTCTGCAGTTAGGGTTTCACCTAATTGTATTCACACTCAGAACACTTCTTAATCTTGTTAATAATACACTATAAAAGGCTTTTTCATAAGCTTTGTTAAAAATTCCAATGTCTATTATTAATTTATATATCTTTACCTGCTTGGTAATCCTAATTCTATTTTTGAGGGAGGGAGGGAGGGAGAGAGAGAAGAGAGAGAAAATAATCATAGTTGAATGTGATTGTTTCAGGAACCTGTGCTGATTCCTAGTAATTACTCTCTTCCAAAGGGCTCTCAGAAATCTTTAAATAGTCTCACATATAATCTAACTGGGGATTAATAGTCAATGTGCCTTTTGTAGTTAAGATATACTTCTGCTTCATTTTGAAAGTTTGGACTTATTTTTTTTCTTCCACTAACCTTGTCTCTACCATTAACTGCAAGACAGATAATGACAGCTTAGAAATCTTACTTACAAACTCTCTCAGAGTTTTAAGATCTAATTGTTGGGCCTCTTAACACTTGAAGCATTTAAAGGTATTCCTTACAATCACCTCATGTAGTTTGGTTTCAATTACTCTTCCCTGATGCTTTTCTATCTCTCTCCAATCTGAAAATCCTCCTTGACATGGAAGCTGGCAACAGAATCTGTTATTACACCACTAACCTAGTCACCTGAAACTGATAACTTCATTTGTATTTTTGCTGGGGGAAAAAAAGTGACTTTGATACTTTTGAAATATGTTTTGTATATTTGTAACCTCTATTCTCTATGACTTTAGTCTTCGAGACTGTTTTTTTTTAGGTCTAGGACATTTGTGTACTTGCCAAGTATGGGTCCTTTTTATGTACATTCAACAATTTCTTCCACAGATATTTGGTGAGTTTCTATTACTGGCCAGGCACTGGGGATACCGAGGCGAATAAAGCAGTCATGTCCCTTGACTTACATCCTAAAATCTGGCATACATTTTTGATGATTGAACGTATCTCCCCACCGATAGCTCTCTTTTGCGTAATGAGCTTTTAATTGTTGGGCATCATCCAGCTCTTAAAATTAGAATCTTGATATCTTAGCACAAGATTCTTTTTTTTTTTCCTCCTTGAAATTTGAAATCAGCCCTCTGAATTTCTAGGTCAACATCTAACATTTTCCAGCATTTCTCTTCTTTAATGTTGGCATAATTTTACAAAACTAAAGAAAACAATATGGGACCAAAAGGCTTTGCCATAATTCACACAGATGGTGGCACATGTGGTAGTTGAACTCAACCTCTCTAATTTTTTTTTTCTTTCGTTTTCTTTTTCATTATTCCATTGTAATTATGCATGGATTTTTCACGAATTTCTTATGTCTCCAAGATATAAGAAAGATATATTTTTCTAATATAATAAGATATAATAAACCCCTCAAGAGGTTTATTAAAGTATACTCAAATATAAGAAGAAAGAGAAAGAATTCTCTTTTCTGCATGTGATCGTATTTTTAATTGCTAATGTGAAATTCTGTCTGCATTCTAGGAATAACCCCGCCCTCGTCTATGCCATCCTCTGCATTTGGACCTGGAGCATGCTGCAGTTTCCGCTCGACCTGGCAGGTCAGTGTCTTGATGTTTTCTCAAAGAAACACAAAATTACAACTCTTTTTAAAAATATGTTTTTATTGATTTACCAGAGAGAGAGGGGAAGGGAGAAATGTAGAAATATCAATGTGAGAGAGAAACGGGTCGGCTGCCTCTTGCACGCCCCCTGCTGGGGATCGAGCCACAACCTGACTGGTAATTGACCTGGGACTTCTCAGGCCATGGGATGATGCTCAGTGCACTGAGCCACACCAGCTGGACCTAAAGTTACAACTCTTGATTATAAATTATAATAAAGCTAAGGAACCATTTGAGAGAATCATCATTTTTACGTTTTGATATCTCAGTGTTAGTTCCAGTTCAGTTTAGACGAAAAGTAGACTGAAATGTAGGAAAGCCATCTGCAGATCCACTCTGGTACATGGTGAGTCTGAGAAAGTTGAAGAGATTAGAGCACGTTCACTTCATAGAGTGGTCCCATCACTTACGATTTGTATAACCTCCTGCAAACTAGTTAACAACTCTGTGTGTCAGTTCTTCATCCATGAAATGGAAATGATGATCACAGTAGCTAGGATTGAGGGTTCTTGTGATGACTAAATAAAATATAGTTTATAAAGTGCTTAGCACAGTTGCTGGCATATAGATGTTATCTCTTGATGTTTTCAAGAGGTCATTTTCAGAGCTGCATATTGGAACATCACAGAGTAAGAGCAGTTTCAGGGCCATATGGAAAATTAAAATCTTCCTCAGTAGTGGCTCTAGAAATCCCATTGGTCTTCTTTTGATAAAGACATAAACCCCTAAAACTTTGCAAGAAGTAAACTGTTTTCCAGGTATTTCATACTAGTGATGGCCAAGAGCTACATTGTCTAATACGCTATCCACTAGTCACATGTGGCTATTTAAAAGTTAAAATTAGTTAAAAATAAATAAAGTTAAAAGTGCACTTCCTCAGTCACACCAGCCACATTTCAAGTGCAGTTGCCACACGTGGCTACTGTGTCAGCGCAGACACCAAGCCTTTCCACCGCCACAGAGGTCCACTGGTCAGCACTGCTCTGCACTTCCCCTCCCTTCTGGGAACCCTAAAGTCTTGATTTGGGAATTCTCCTGGACACCACTTTATCTTGAAGAAATTCTAGGATTTAATCATTATACTTTCCTTAAGTCTGACTTCATTTTTTATGGCACCCTTCCTGATGACCTTGGATTAGAAGTTATTTTAGGTCCGGCTGGTGTGGCTCAGTGGTTGAGCGTCGACCCATGCACCAAGAGGTCGCCGGTTCGATTCCCAGTCAGGGCACATACCCAGGTTGTGGGCACGATCCCCAGTGGAGGACATGCAGGAGGCGGCCAATTGATGTTCTCTTTCATTGGTGTTTCTAGCTCTCTCTCTTCCTCTCACTCCTCTCTCTCTCAAATCAATAAAGGGAAAAAAAGGTTTTTTGTGTTTTTTTTTGCCTAATTTCTTTAAAAAAAACAACAACTTATTTTAGGGCAGGGATAATACAATAACCAAGATCTGGAAGCATCCAAGTGCCTGTCAGTAGATGAATGGATAAAAAACTCTGTGGTATATTTATACAACAGAATACTACTCAGTCGTTAAAAAAAAAAAAAAAAAAAAGGAAGGAAGTCTTACTCTTTGTGACAGCATGGATGGACCTGGAGAGTATTATTCTAAGAGAAATAAGCCAGTCAGGGAAAGACAAGCACCATATGAATGGGGGAGGGGTTAGGGCCCTGGGGAAAAAGGGTGAAGGGATTAAGCAAAAAAAAACAAACAAACTCTTAGACGCAGAGGGTGATTACCAGAGAGAAAGTGGAGTGGGGGAGGTAGAAGAGGGTAAAGAATGGATAAATAGTGATGGAAGGAGACTTGACTTGGGGTGGTAAACACACAATACAATATGCAGATGATGTATTACAGAATACTACACCTGAAACCTATATAATTGCATTAACCAATGTCACCCTAATAAATTTAATAAAATAAAAATAAAGAATAATTTCTGCATTTTTATTATTTTGTTTTGGCTCACTGAGGCCTAGAGGTTTCAGAGACCATTTTAGAGCTTAGCATCTACTTTTCCGAAATAAAATGATCACCAGAATAGATGGAAAGTGTGGCTGTAGCTTTTTAGAGATACCAAAAACCTAATTACTAGTTAAAAATTACAAACAAATGTATGCTAATAACACAGACACACACACACACACACACACACACACACACACACGTTTAGTCATGATGTGCCCTGGAACATGTCCTACACCCATTGATCAACTGGTATCTTCTGACAGAATATAAGCACCATCACCCTAGATGTGGAACATCCTAGGGGGTGCCCTGGGAGCCTTTTCCTGACCCTAACTTCTTTGGACAGGCTATTAGTGATTTTATGTTGGTTCTTCTCTTGTCATTCATTCTGCTGGTCTTCACCCTTCCATATCTTGTGGTTTATAGCCTTGCTAAGAAAATTTTTATTTAAGAAAGAAATTGTGTAAACTTTCAGGGGTGATAATGTTATGCAGCTGTCTGGAAAACAAAGACCAAATGTAACTTCTGACTAAATTACTATTGTATTTTCCAGTGAATAGTACATTATGTTCATATCAAAGCAGCTTCATAACATTTGCGAGCTTTAGCAGAGAAGTCATTCTTTGTTTGAAAACTCCAAATGGAAGTCTTCATCAGTATTCAAAGATTATTTTCTGCCCTTGACCCTGAATTAAGTTCGTATATTAGAAATTAAAACAAAAAGGTTCATTTGTTGATTAGACCTCCTTATGTTCAACTGGAAAATCAGTAATTATATCCAGTTTTTCTTATAAACTGTGAAACAAAACCATAAGGAATTAGACAAAATAAAATAACAATGGCATTTATTTGTTTTTTTTTTCCCCCACCACCATTAGAAAAATATGTTGAACATGAATTAAGTTTGAATTTGAATATAAGTGCTAGAATTTTCACAACACAATGTATACATAGGATCAAGTGAGTCAACCAGCAAATAGGTAGATCTCAAAAAGAGGACCCCAAAGGATCTGGGTCATGTATATGTTCCATCTCCAAACCTGGCAGTCAGGGAAGTCATTCATTATGCCAAAGGAAAGATAATGCAGGGAAGGAGAAAGGAGCCAGGGGTACTATTCTAATAGAAACAGACAGAATCCATGAATAGGGACCCCTCTCCTCACAGATATAATTTTTATCCCATTTTTCAAAGAAGGAAACTGAGGCCCAGGCAGATTAAGTAACTTGCCCAGCATCTTCCTGCTAGAAAAGGAGGAAGCCAAGGAGAGGCAGCCCGTCCCCTTACTTGAGGCCCAGACCACCTGCTGTACTGCGCCACCCTCCCCCACCCCCCCCCACCCCCCACCGCAGACGCCAGGGATAGACACGGTGCTTTCCTCAGTTCTTTTTTTTTTTTTTTTCTAATTTTTTTTCTTTATTGATTTTCAGAGAGAGAAGGAGAGATAGAAACATTGATGAGAGAGAACATCAATTTGCTGCCTCCTGCATGCCCCTCACTGGGGATCTGGTCCACAACCTGGGCATGTGCCCTGACCGGAATCGAACCAGCGACCTCTTGGTGCGTGGGTCAACGCTCAACCACTGAGCCACACCAGCCAGGCTCAGTTCTTGATTCTCTCTATCCTGGTGAATTGTGCTTCTCCCAGGGTGCGGACTAGAAAGTAGTCTGAATTCTTTTCATGGATATAAACTAGAGAACTGGCTTTCTTTGGTGTGTTTTATTGGAAATGTAACATATCATCATCTTTGAATAGAAAAAGGTGAAGGGTGTTTCACCGGTTCCCACAGAATGAAATTCCAGAAGCACAGTCGTGAAGTAACGTAGCACCCATGGCTGAAGACTTGTTCCCGTTTCATTCTGTTTTACTTTTGACGTTTCAGAGAGATCCATTAATTGGTCTGTCTTGTGTTTTCAGTCCAGCATGTCATGTGCCCCTTATCTGTGACAGCGAGGGGGTTCCCCAGCCTGTTCTTATGCCAATACAGCGCCGATCTGTGGAACATTGGAATCAGTGTCTTCATACAAGACGGCCCCTTCCTCGTCGTGCGTGTCATACTGATGAGCTATTTCAACGTGATCAACCAGATGCTGGTGTTCTTTGCCGTGAAGAATTTCCTCGTGGTGATGTTACACCTCTACCGCTTGGTGGTTTTGGCACTGGGGGTCCGTGCCTCCTTGCGCAGGCAGCCAGAGGTGCCGAAAGAAGAGCGCAGCAGCCGCGTGGAACTGGCTGAGAGTGGGGTCCCCCCTGGGGGCTGGGAGGGCGGTGCTAAGGAGGGCTTGGCGCTGCCTTTCCGGGCACCACGCCCCTCTGATGACTCTGACCCCACCCCGTAGTTATTTATTGACAGCAGGATGCAACTGAAATATTTGACTTTCCAGTTCATCTTTCAAACAGAATCTCTCTCTCTCTATTTTCAAACCTCTCATATAATGATGTTCAAAAGAACAACAAAAAAGTGGTCTTAAACCTGTCAAAATAATAGAAATGGAGCCACTTTAAAATGCAGCAGGAGCTGCCCGGCCACGGGAACACTTCACACCTCTTAGGCCTCAGCGCTGGGTGTTCAGACAGCAAACAGCCTCTGGACCGGCCTGAAGCAACCAGGTGTCCCAAAGAAGTGTTTGCAAGGAGAACAAGAAAGTACATATTATGACTACCGGACTGATGGCTATCTGACCAAAAATTAGAAACATTGTTTAGAATTCGCGTCACTGTGTTATGTCATCTGCACCGATAGAAATGCCTTCCTTCTACCGATGCCATTGTTCCCCTTTCGTGTCTCATAAATTCCCTTTGCCATTGTCTCCTAACCAGACCACTGTTTGGGTTTCCACCTGAATCAGTGCCTTCTGAATCGCTATTTTTATTGATCTCAAATAAATGCTTGTTGCCTTTCACTTTGAAAGGCCTTTTATGTTTAGGTTATTAAACCAAAGCTGAGAATTTTTTTTTTTTTTTAAACTGAATGGCAAGAACTTTGATTAGTGGCTATTGTTACAACTTCTGTGTGATGGTATCAGATGTTAGAGTTGTCCAACAACTAAGTGATTTGTTTGTCTTGAACTGTTTGACAAGCTAGGGACAGGGTTACAATGACATGCCCTCCAGAGATTTAGTGCAGACAAACTGTCCCAGCTGTCACCTGAAAACAGAGAAGCTTTGAACTTTGGCTCCATTGTCAGACTATCTCATCTGATCTTTTCTGCAATGTCTCTCTGACATTAAAAAAAAAAAGTGTACATTCAGTGAATGCAGAAGAAATAAAGGGAAAAGTGCCTTTAAAATTACCTCACTGTGGGCTAGTGAAAATCTCTGCCCAGCTTCCATAGCATTGAGCCCTCTTCACGGCTGCACAGACCTTCCCAGGAAAATCATTTTTCTGGGCTGATGTGGCATTCTGTCATGGTGCATATGCTCTTACAGAAATTTTATTGCTTTTGGCTTGGGCACTGCAAAATTCACAGCGAGCCATTTCAGTTACCCATCTACTGGTGGTGAGGCAGGAAATACTGGCAATGTTAGCAAAGTCACAGTTTCCACTCTGAACGTGATTTGTGGTATTTGTCAGTATTTTTCTGAACTGCACTGCCCCATTTTCTATATGGCAAGTCGAATTCTGCGGTCGGTGCGAAGAAGCCGTGAAGCGGTGAATGACGGGGATCCAGGCCCTTGAAGTGTTACTGCCATTTCTGGTGTCTGCCAGCGGTCGCTGCAGCTCCTCTGAGCTGCCGCTGCTGGAGATGGCCTTAGGTCTCAGGGGACATGTTGGTGACGGAGGCTGCATCAGCCTACACATGGCCAACAGCCCTTGATGAGTGCCGGGGGTCAGAATAGGTACCACGCAGCATTGTGGAAATGGGGGGATCCGCCTTTCTTCCCCGCATTAAGCATTCATTTCCCCAGTACTGAAATAGTCACACTTTTCCTTTGTACACTGCTTTCCAGGTGGAGATGATTCAAAACCTTTTAAAACACTTTTTGCTTTTAAAGACAGAGTGTGAAAATGTACCTGGCTATATCACAGTAACTATATGAGGTAAACAGTTCCCAAACCATTCTTTGGGGGTTCAAAGCATAGTTCTTCCTGTTATTATGCTCAGGAACTCAAAGAGACATTAAAGATAAGGCAGGGTATGGCCCTCAACTGTGTGTGACTTATTGACAATTAATTGGGGGACTTTGATCTGTAAATCCGTGGGACATGATATGTGTTCAAAACATTGGATAAAAGTTTTACAGGCAAATCCTGCTTTTATACAAAGAAATTAATAATTTCCAATGAATAGCCTCTTCAGTGCCTGATATCATGTTTCTATTTCTTTCTTCCATGTGTTTCTAATTTTAACAATATGATTGTAAAATTACACATGAAACTAATGGAATCCATTTATAATTTTCCATAATAATTTTATGAAAGATCAGGAAATCATATCTATCTAAAGGAAGAAACTTGACAACTTTTAAGGGCATGTTATTTAAAATGCTTTGCAATGGAAAGTAAAATAATAGCTGCTATTTATGAAAACGCCTCTGCAGAGTGTGTTTTTATGTTGACTGTTTTATGGTGAATGTTTTCCTCCACATGTATGTGCTACTTATTACTGCAGATTTGCTCATGGCATACTTGTCATGTTTTAATTTTTTTCTTCCAGCAAAACAAACATTGGGCCCCTAAAAATAGATCAGTATAAAGTAATGCGGGCTGTTGCAAGGATATTTTTAAATGCTTTCAAATCTGAGATTTGGCTTGGTTTTGTGAATGAGTTTCTAGTGTTTAAGTAAAGTATTTTGTAATTAGCACTCCTCAGAAGGCCTGGGTAATATAAAGTCCAGAGTCTAGCTTCATTTGGAGTGCCAAGAAGGCAGAGAGCACCCAGGATCATCTCAGCAATTAATGGTGAAAAAATAGAAACATGCCCCGGGAACATTTTCCAGGAAAATCTGCTAAGGGCATCATTTGTTCACCTCACTGCCAGGACTCCCACTCTTTTGAACTTAACTGTTTTTACTGCAGAAAGAAAATCTATATTCATTTAGCTTATTGAAAAAATAAACTGAAGTCCAGGTTGTATCCCTAGGACCCCTCGTGAAAAATTAAAAATGTATTGTTATTGTACCTTTGTATTGTAGATGGCTAAACATGGTAATGTTTGCAAACATCCAAGTGTGTGCTACAAAGTGGCTAGAACAGCAGTTACCTCCCATATGTTGATATTCTGGGACTCGTCTCTATTTCATTTGTAAGAAGATAAGTGACTCATATCTTCCGTGTAATGTGATGCAGGCCATACCTCTGTACCACGGCCTGCAGACACATGCCAATCCCCGACCACCGAAGAAAGAGGCTTATTTGTTATTATTGTTGTCGTTTAATTGATTGATTAAAGCCCAATCAAATGTCCTCCCTCCAAACAGAGTTCACTCGTGAGAAAACACAGTGTCCATGTTTTAATGATGCTCTGTGCAAACTCGCCTCATGACCTTCTCGTGGGTCTTCTTTACCCCTCCTAGAGCAGGGGACATGACATTGCAAGACTAGTAAACTGTTTTTGTCTTTGATGATTTGTTAATTTTATTTAAGCTGATACAGATAACATGAAAATAAAATATTTGCGTTGGCATAACATTCTTTTTTAATCTTCCAAAGTGAAGCTTGTTAGACAAATGTATCAGCGGGCTCTGCTGCAGTTCCACTGACATGTAGCAGCACGTCAGGACCAGAAAGACACAGCTAGAAATATCAGGAGTCACTATTACGTATGAATTGTTAACGTAATAGCAACTTTCCAAAGCCCTGGGAAGGCATGCACTGTAGGTGTGCATGCTTTATGATTTCCACCCAGGTTTCAGAGTTCAACACGGACTCTTAGTATCTTTGGCATTTAATCTCAGTGACTCTTCATCAACTCTCCTGTTAAAAGAAAGACTCGCAAGAGGCCAAGTCTCTGTCCACTTTCATTCCACTCTATGGCCAGGAAAGTGAGACACTGAAATCTTACAGAGCCTCAGAGAAGTAAGAGAAAACCAAACAATCCTGAATTATAAGAAGACAGTGCTACTCTTCTTTTAATTTCAGACTTTGCTTTTTTACTCAGAGGACATTCTCATCCCCTCTCAGAAACATCTGATCCGGGGTTAAACTAGGCAGCTGGAGGATGTTTATAGCTCTGAGGCTTCAAACAATGTTCCATATGATGGGAGTAACTCTAAACAATGTTTGAATAATCAACCGCTATAGCCTTATATTTTATGGGTGTCCAGCTTCTGAATATTTCATAAGAATATTTTCTCAGAATTACTCATATTTATACTATTTTGCTATGAATGACATTTGTACTTTATTATATATACATTAAATAATTTGTTTACAACTGTATCTCAATGTCTATTTTTTGTTTGAATTTCTTATCTTTGTTCTCTGTTGTAATTCATTTCATTTAGTTTGTAAGCTCTGGTTTAAAAGAAAAAAAAAAAGAAAAAAACCCAGATCTGTTTAGAGTATGACTAAAGTGGCATTTCAAACTAGTGAGGAAAGACTGACCAATTTTATAAATGATGTTGGGAAATTTTGCGAACCATCTGGAAAAAATAAAGTTAGATTTTTATCTCACGCAATATATAGAAATAAATTCCAGATGGATTAAAGATCTAACTGTAAAACTGAAAACTATAAAATATTAGGAGAAAATCCGGAATGTGTCTTTAGCATTTGCGGAACGGGAAAGAGCTTTTAGAGCAGGAAGTGAAGTCAGGAGTCACGAAAGCAAGGATCAACAGCTTCTCCTACATAAAGGTTGAGCATTTCTGAAGAGCCGAAGGTGTCATGCATACATCACTATTCTTTTTCTTTTCTGTGTACTCCTACAAGACAAATGAGAGGCATAGAAATTAGGAGCCAATTTTATCATTTCTTCATAAAAGATTGAGTCTTGAACAACCAAGAAAGCACAAAAACCAAAGAAAATATTAAAAATAATCTAAAATCCTGAAGAAAAAAAATCAGTGGCTTTTCTATATGTAAACAAACATCACATAGAATATATATTTGAAGAAGAAATTTCCATATAGCATGAACTAGAACTGAAAAACTCATAGAAATAAACTTAATAAATGTACAAAATGCATCTGAAGAAAAGTTTAAAATGATTTTGAGGACCATCAGTAAATAGTTTAACAAATGTAAAGATATATTCTGTTGGGGAGTGGTAAGAAAATGATATTTTAACCTGTATCATCCATTTCTCTTAAATTGATGTATAAATTTAGAACAATCTCTATAATGATACCAATGAGATTTCAATTTTTAATTATGACCTAAGCTGATTCTAAACAT